TTTTAAACTCGTTTTTAAACCATCTTACAAAGAGTTAACCTAAGGGAACATCTTAGGGCCTGAGAGCCTACTCAAGATAGATTTCGGGGCCGTGGGGCCAATCTAAGAACACATCTTAGGGCCGTAGGGCCTACCCGAGAATGATCTCAGGCCACAGAGCCTACCTAAGAGTCACATTAGGTCCATAAAAATTTTCCAGCTTGATCAGAGTTGTACTTTACAAATCTGTATCTCCAAGATACAGTTTATACAATGATACAAATCCATAAACCATCACCGATAAGTCGGTGTATCCATAAAACAGTAACCATAGATTTCAATGTACCACATGTTAAAACAATAAAACAATTTTTTAAAATATAAGGAACACACTAGAGAATCCAAATATTTTCAGATGTATTTTGTAGTTGTCAATATGGATAACATGAACTTGTGTAATTTGATCAGATTCCAGTAATAAGATCTTATTGAAGAGAATCGATTTCTAACCGATCTAATTAGACATTTTAGATTGATACTTTAGAATTCCACTAAGTTTCTATGTGCATCAGGAAAACGTTCAGGAACCTTTATACATAATAATTCTAAATTTAGATTTACTGCGAGTGATTCCATTATCCAAACAATCAGGGGTATTCAGGAATATACTTTGAATTCATAGGATTTCAGCCCAATTGAACCAAATGAGGTATTCCGAATCTTTTCCTTCTGCGTTACTTGCATTTTCAAACATGACCGAAGTGATTTTAGATGAAAATAAAGAATCAAAGATTCAAGTCATTTACAATCTATGACTATCGACCGTATTATCAAACAACTCGAGTTACAACTCTCAAACTGATGCATGTCAACAAGTCAATTCATTATTCTTCCAGTGTATTCACTCTGCAGATCCATAGATCATCCCCATAATTATCGCTAAATAGATCTCCCAACTGTCTTTATTTCATTTCCATGTTTTAACGATATCAGGAAGTACAGACGTACTTGATTTATGGTTCATAACCCATAAAGATAATTCATCATGTAAGTTCAATAGTGTTTCCAGACTCATCCAAATCACTTATTTAATCCTCATTCATTGAGGTTATTTAGTTCATTTAATAATCATGTCTATTCTTATTACTTCAGAGTTTTCCAGAGTAATTCAGACGTTTCTGAATTCCAAATACATATTGCATTTCCATTCAGTTTAATTTGGTCTTTGTGGTTTATTTGTCAAACAAACGTCCAATTCTTAATACTGAATGCGATCTAGAGTTGAGCTGAATACTTCCAAAACTATCATCTAGCTAAACTTGAGTAGACGAACACGCATTCAAGTAATATCTATGCCGTTCAGGTACTGACTTATCATTAAAGTTGATTGGCTTACTTAAGCTGTGTTCCATAACTTTTTAAAGGTAGTCCAATACCTATGCTTATTTGGATTCCTTAATTAATCCAAGACATTTACTTAGAATATGACACAAGGGTATTTTGGTAATTTTGGTTTTCATTTTTATTCCATTTATTTCAAAGCTCGAAGATATCCAATCATTCTTGAACTTGGTGGTATTCTTGGGTTATTTTCATTATAGGGGTATTTTAGTCATTTTACAGATTCAGCGTATTTCAATCATTTCCTTCCATCCGATCTTACTATTAAATTCAATCTTATCATTTATTTCAGTCATTTCGAACAATTATGACAACAGAACACCCCGACAAATTATTCTTCAGGTATTTACTCATAACTCGGATATTTCTGGGTCAAGTATCTTCTCAGATTTTACAAACGGAAAATCAGGAATTTTCCTCAACTAAGTCAGGATCTTAATAATCAAATCCGTACTTAATCGAGTTAATTACAAATCCTCATAGTATTTTCTCATTCAGGGTTAACTAGGACTATTTTACCTCTCAAGGGCAATTCCGTAATTTCTTAACCAGATAATTTCAGTATTAGTTCTTAACGAAAATAATTATAATTTAGAGATCTTATGATCAATTGCTTTACCGAACATTCTCTTATCTTGAAATGATTCCTTAATAGAATTCTAATATCTTGCACAAACCCTCTAGGGGTTAAAAACCGGTTATCCGTAATTTCCAAGTAAAACTAACATTTCTTATGCACATCAGTAGTTATATCGAATCAATGTCTTTTCAGAGTTATTAACCAACTTCCAGGGACAATTATTGTCATCCTACAACATAAGGGTATTTTCGTAATTTTACCCTACCGGAGTATTCTCATAATTTCTCATCCAAGTACCTTTAACATTTAACCTTTGATGAAATAAATTATAAGTTACAGATACAGGGCTGATTTCTTTATCAATAATCACAAACTTGTAATTTAATCTAACAATTCCTCAATCTCTTATATTAGTCATTCGATCCGTAATCAGTTACAGAATTTCTACCACATCATATTGTGTGTATAAATTATTCAACTTCACCAAAGTGACCAACATTATCTTGTTCATGCATTTATCAATATAAACATGTTCCATAAAGCATAAAGAGATAGTAAAGTATTATCTCGATTTCTGTGCAATACTGATCGACCATAAAAATTCCATTTGAACGCCTTTGATCTTCAATTCAACTTCCAATAATTCCTCAGATGCATATCAACATAAATTATATCAGAAACATAGCTTAATTGTGATAAATAGATCGAATCGGGTGATAAATTAGTGAAAAATAGCTTACCGGGTTCGAATTTGGCGAATCGGACTTCAGATTCGGATTCAGGACGTCGAAAAACATAAAATACGACTTTTCGAAAATTTTGACTTTTCTGTCAAAATCAAAGTCAAAGGGTTTGACTGGAAATTTCGAGGCCTTCGGGTATGAATTTGGCAAAACGGACTGCGGAATCGAACTCATGACGTCGATAAAACCCAAACAATTACTCTAGAATTTAAGCTCACCAACTCAATTTCTAGCTTCAATCATTTTCTCAAGAACCCGAACCTTCAAATATACGAACCCAAATCTAAAATAAATTTCTCGCCATAAAAATAACTTATTAAAAATCCTTTCTATAATAGAGAGCTCAATTGGTAAAATTGAAAACTAATGGTGCCATCAAAATAGTTAATTACTTAAATTAGTGACTAAATTGATCTTGTAAAAACTATTATGTCATAACTATAAACACTTGGAAATTAAGAGACAAGGTAAAGATCTCACCAAACTTGGATGACACACCTTGTGATTTACCCATTTGCACTTTAATAATAGTTCCCCAAAACCACGTGATTCCATTGCACCATGCTCCATTTCACGTTTATTTTAAATATTTTTCTCTTTCTCTATAACTGCTCCATTTCACGTGATTCCATTGCCAAAGCCAGTGAACAAACGAAAAGAGCAGCTTCCATGTCTGAACCTTCTCCAGGAATACTCGAACTGAACACAAATGATGCTTATAAATTCTGAGTAACTGCTGCTGGTGACCAGCTCGAACCATTTGCTTGGCTAGATCATGCAGAAATGACATAATTCGAGGAGGTATAAGAATGGGAGGAGTATACACAGCAGTTTCCAAGTCAATATTTTGATGCTCAGAATGGCTATAGGATGTAGTCCTGCCACCAGCATCTCCTTAATTACCAAGTGATCCTGATGATGGACGTAGCACATTTGGAAGGCCATTAAACAGACGATCAAGCTCAATAGGTTTGCTATAAGAATTCAATCGCTTCTTAAACTCATCCTCCGATACTCTCTCGGTAAACTCCACCGTTTCCAATACCGCATTACACTTCTGGAACGACAATTCCCCGTGCACCATGGTCCAGCAGAGCTCGTAGATACAGCGAAGCATGAGAACAGTGAAGATAAGGATAAATTTGGGTTTGTATTTTTGCCTTCCCACATGATTTCCTCCATTACTTATATACACTCTATAGAAGAGAGATTTTCAAAATATCACAATTGTATGGTTCTTGGAAATCTAAATAAAATAATAATATTAAAATAATAAAATTCCCATATGTTCATTGTCTTTATCAAAGAGTGTAGGCAACTCAATAGGAATTTGAGAGGCATTCAAGTAAACAACGCACCTGTTAAAGTTGCAATATTCTTTATCACACAAACCACATCATTTCCATTATTTTTTTTTTTCTTTTGTCAACAAATCCAGCTGTGAATCAACAAGCAAGAAATAATATATCATTTCTTCTATGCTGGAAAGCAATAGATTTCAACCATGTTGCCATTATCCTTACTTAAAAAATATATCTCCTATTGAGTGGCCTTAATAACTACAATAATTGGGGTGTTACACTATTTCTGCCCAAACAGTTAACTATAATTAAAAAATGTTCTTATTATGTTATGTGACAGTTATCACAAATTATATCTAATTTTAATAATAAAAAAATGATATGTGAAGTTTTTCATTTTTTCAGTTTAATTTTAAATTGAATCTTATTTAATTTTTAATTTTATAATTTAGTGAAAATTTTTAATTTTATTTTTCTTCTATTTCTTTAAATTTTCGTGACGAGGCTCTGTTGAATTTGTTATACCTCATCTTTTTATTTAATAAAATATATTTTTTATTAAAAATAATTACTAATTAACACATAATATGTATTAAATTTATAAAATTTCATAAAATTTGTAAAAATTTAAAATGAAAAAATATAGAAAGTTCTCATTTAAAAAAATAAAAAAGTCATAATCCTTTTGTAGTTTTCAAAAAAGTGTAGCAATTTATTTTTTAAAATAAAAATAAAAATTATAGAATGTTCAAAAATGTAAAAAAGAACACATTTTTTTTAAAAAAGAGTTTTTTTTTGAATTTTTATGATTTTTCATGACAAAAAATTTCTCTTTAAATTGAAGAAGAAGAAAAATCAGTTATTGGTTTGGATCTCTAAAGTGTTAGACCCATAAAATGATTTTGGGTTGGACCATACAAAAATATATTTTCTATCAAATTTCTTACCCCCACAAAACCCAACCCTAATCCAAAACCCTAGTCAGAACCAATATATTAGTCCAAATCATAACATTCTTCGCCGCTTTCTACCTCTGCTCGGCGTACCCGCAGAAGCAAAACACCTCAGGCAGCAACAAGATCGGCCGCCATGGTTCATTTCTCTTCACTTTGTTTTCACAATTTATATTTTGAAGTCTCTTCCTTGTTTTGTTAGACTATATAAAACTGAACTCGATTTTGTTTTGAACCCTTGTCTTTTCAGGTGAAGTATTCGAAGGAGCCCGAGAACCCCACCAAGTGTAACGTGCCATTTTTTTTATCTTTGAGCTTTCCACCTTTTTATCATGACCCCATATTTCTTTGATGGAAACTAATGATGTATGGTTTTCATTTTTTTGCAGCCTGTAAGGCAAGGGGCTCTGATCTCAGGGTTCATTTCAAGGTATTATATAATTTTACTTGACTCTTGATTCGAAGCTTTGGAATTTGGTTGAAGATTACCAAAAAATCATTTGGCAGTAATAAATGTTTGTTAAATTAGATTTAGCTGAGAATGCTACAGTATTTTTTTCAATGCATGTATACATCCATTTGCTATTTATCATATTTAATGATTAAAGACTGTCGTGGAACTTATCTGTTTATTTTTTGATTGGGAGAGGATTGTTGTAGTGATTTTCATAGCCTTATATCATGCACTGTTTATGGGCATATATATATATATATTGGCTGAGTATTTGGATTATTAAACCTGATGAAAAAAGCAGGGCCTTGTTGCCTTTTGTGAACTAGGCTCTTGTAAGCTTCAGGAAAATTACTTGTGCATTGTTATTGGGTGAACCTCTGGATTTTATTGGTGCCTGAAGGTTCAGTAAATGATGCTACATTTTGTAATCCTCTGTAAGGATTTTAGTTTTTTTCATTTATATGATATTATTTAATTGTTTCTTGACGTGTTTTGATGTTGTCTGGTTCGGATTTTGCTGAGTTTTTTGATTCATTAACCTGATGAAAATAAGCAGGGTCTTGTTGCCTTTTGTGAACTTGGTTCTCGTACACTTCAGGAAAATTACTTGTGCATTGTTCTTGGGTGAATCTCTGGTTGTTAACGATGCCTGAAGGTTCAGTAAACGATGCTACATTTTGTAGTCCTCTGTAAGGAATTTAGTTTTTGGACTGATATGATATGAGTTAAAAAATTTCTTGAGGTGTTTTGATGTTTGTTTGGTTTGGTTTTAGGCCGAGTTTTGTATTCTTAAACCTGATGAAAAAAAGCAGGTCCTTGTTGCCTTTTGTGAACTTGGTTCTCGTAAGCTTCAGGAAAATTACTTGTGCATTGTTCTTGGGTGAATCTCTGGTTGTTAATGGTGCCTGAAGGTTCAGTAAATAATGCTACATTTTGTAGTCCTCTGTAAGGAATTTAGTTTCTGGACTGATATGATATGAGTTAAAAAATTTCTTGAGGTGTTTTGATGTTTGTATGGTTTGGTTTTAGGCTGAGTTTTGTATTCTTAAACCTGATGAAAAAAAAATAAGGGCCTTGTTGCCTTTTGTGAACTTGGTTCTCGTAAGCTTCAGGAAAATTACTTGTGCATTGTTCTTGGGTGAATCTCTGGTTGTTAATGGTGCCTGAAGGTTCAGTAAATAATGCTACATTTTGTAGTCCTCTGTAAGGAATTTAGTTTTTGGACTGATATGATATGAGTTAAAAATTTTCTTGAGGTGTCCTGATGTTCGTTTGATTTGGTTTTAGGCCGAGTTTTGTATTGTTAAACCTGATGAAAAAAAGCAGGGCCTTGTTGCCTTTTGTGAACTAGGTTCTCGTAAGCTTCAGGAAAATTACTTGTGCATTGTTCTTGGGTGAATGTCTGGTTGTTAATGGTGCCTTAAGGTTCAGTAAATAATGATACATTTTGTAGTCCTCTGTAAGGAATTTAGTTTTTGGACTGATATGATATGAGTTAAAAAATTTCTTGAGGTGTTCTGATGTTGGTTTGGTTTGGTTTTAGGCTGAGTTTTGTATTCTTAAACCTGATGAAAAAAAAGCAGGGCCTTGTTGCCTTTTGTGAACTAGGTTCTCGTAAGCTTCAGGAAAATTACTTGTGCATTGTTCTTGGGTGAATCTCTGGTTGTTACTGGTGCCTGAAGGTTCAGTAAATAATGCTACATTTTGTAGTCCTTTATAAGGAATTTAGTTTTTGGACTGATATGATATGAGTTAAAAACTTTCTTGAGGTGTTTTGATGTTTGTTTGGTTTGGTTTTAGGCCGAGTTTTGTATTCTTAAACCTGATGAAAAAAAGCAGGTCCTTGTTGCCTTTTTTGAACTTGGTTCTCGTAAGCTTCAGGAAAATTACTTGTGCATTGTTCTTGGGTGAATCTCTGGTTGTTACTGGTGCCTAAAGGTTCAGTAAATAATGCTACATTTTGTAGTCTTCTGTAAGGAATTTAGTTTTTGGACTGATATGATATGAGTTAAAAAATTTCTTGAGGTGTTTTGATGTTTGTATGGTTTGGTTTTAGGCCGAGTTTTGTATTCTTAAACCTGATGAAAAAAAATAAGGGCCTTGTTGCCTTTTGTGAACTTGGTTCTCGTAAGCTTCAGGAAAATTACTTGTGCATTGTTCTTGGGTGAATCTCTGGTTGTTACTGGTGCCTGAAGGTTCAGTAAATAATGCTACATTTTGTAGTCCTTTATAAGGAATTTAGTTTTTGGACTGATATGATATGAGCTAAAAATTTTCTTGAGGTGTTCTGATGTTTGTTTGATTTGGTTTTAGGCCGAGTTTTGTATTGTTAAACCTGATGAAAAAAAGCAGGGCCTTGTTGCCTTTTGTGAACTAGGTTCTCGTAAGCTTCAGGAAAATTACTTGTGCATTGTTCTTGGGTGAATGTCTGGTTGTTAATGGTGCCTTAAGGTTCAGTAAATAATGATACATTTTGTAGTCTTCTGTAAGGAATTTAGTTTTTGGACTGATATGATATGAGTTAAAAAATTTCTTGAGGTGTTCTGATGCTGTTCAGTTCAGTTTGAGGCTGAGTTTTGGATTCTTAAACCTGATGATAAAAAGCAGTATCTAGTTGCCTTTTGTGAACTAGGTTCTCGTAAACTTCAGGAAAATTACTTGTGCCTTGTTCTTGGGTGAACCTCTGGATTTTATTGGTGACTGTAGGTTCAGTAAATGATGCTACATTTTGTAGTTATCCGTAAGGAATTTAGTTTTTGGATTGATAGGATATGAGTTTAATTGTTTCTTGAGGTGTTTTGATGTTGTTCAGTTCAGTTTGAGGCTGAATTTTGGATTCTTAAACCTGATGAGAAAAAGCAGAGTTTAGTTGCCTTTTGTGAACTAGATTCTCGTAAACTCCAGGAAAATTACTTGTGCATTGTTCTTGGGTGAACCTCTGGATTTTATTGGTGACTGAAGGTTCAGTAAATGATGCTACATTTTGTAAACCTTTGCAAGTAATTTAGTTTTTGGATTGATAGGATACAAGTTCATTTGTCTCTCTATTTGTGTTAATGTTCAGTTCGGTTTTATGACATATTACTCTGCATCTCTTCTGTTTTTCGTTGCCAATTTTGTGCTGTAACTGTTTGCTGGTGCTCATCAATGAGGCTCATACTGGGTTCTGCTTTTATAGAACACAAGGGAGACAGCTTTTGCCATCAGAAAGTTGCCTTTGGGCAAGGCAAAGAGGTATTTGGAGGACGTTATGGCTCACAAGCAAGCCATACCATTCCGACGCTTTTGTCGTGGTGTAGGTCGAACTGCTCAGGCAAAGAACAGACATTCTAACGGACAAGGTCGCTGGCCTGTAAAATCTGCCAAGTTTATTCTAGATTTGCTGAAGAATGCAGAGAGCAATGCCGAGGTATGCCTAGTCCGTTGGTTTTGAGTTTGCATCACTCCTTTTTTTCCACATCTAAGGGCTTGATGTCAATTTCTCAGGTTAAGGGTTTGGACGTTGATGTCCTATATATTTCTCACATCCAAGTAAACCAGGCTCAGAAACAAAGGCGTCGTACATACCGTGCACATGGAAGAATCAACCGTATGTATTGAAACCATGCACCTAATGTCATATGAAGACTGTTCTGTTTATGTCTCCTTTGTTAATCGGACCGTGTCCTGTTTTTTGGCAGCTTTTATGTCTTCCCCTTGCCATATTGAATTAGTTTTGTCTGAGAAGGAAGAGCCTGTCAAGAAAGAGGTAACTATTTTAAACTTAAATTTCCTTGGTAATAAAGGCTTCAAACATGGAATAAATTAATGTAAACTGTGCGGTTTTCTGAAATATTTTGTTGTTTATGATTATCTTTTGTTTTCAGCCTGAGACTCAATTGGCAGCTAGCAATTCCAAGAAGACCTAAGCTTAGGTGCTTCTGTTTACACCTTTATTTTCCCTTTTTTATGGAGTTTTTGAATTTTTGCAACTCATTTTCTTTTGGTTTTTCGAACCGTGTTTAGTTTAATGTCATTTGATAACTTTTTTAAATGGTTGTTATTTATTAAAGAAAGTGATATCTGAAGTTGATCTTGTGGTTGTGGGATCGAGTCCCACGGTGGGTAATTTATAATTCTAACTGTCGGAGGTCTTCCACGAAAACTGCTCTCAACCTGGCGTTGGGGTCAGCCTACTATCTTACCTTCCTCTTATCTCATTACACATGAGAATAGGGTCAGCTAAATTTTATATCTGAAGTTGACAGGTACTTAACTTTCGGACAGATAGGTCTTGAGATACAATGTGATCTTACTACAACCCATGTTTTTTCATTAAAGAAAACAATTCTGTAAACGTTGAACCATAATGATATCCATTTCAATATTTTATTGTATAAAATATACTACTGCCATGTATTTTAAGTTATTCTTTTAATAAACAGTTTGATTCATCGATATAACATATAATATACTAATTTGGTTAAAAAATATTAAATACCAAAAATAAAAAATATAATTGAAGTACTCATTTTCTAGAAATCGAATTAATCAAAACCCTAGTCTTACTGTAAAATAATATTCGATGGAGGTAGGGGTGCACAAAAAATTCGAATATCCGAAAAAAATATCCGAAACCGGTTTTGAGAAAAATCGGCTTTTTTTTAACCGGATCGGATTTTTTTAAATCGGTTATTTTAACCGGTTTGGAGAAAAAAACTTAGACCGGTGTTTTTACCGGATAAAAAATCAGTTTGAAAAAAATTGGTTAAAAAACTGGTTTTTATCCGAAAAAAAAAACCGGTCTGGGTTTAAAAAACTAGCCGTTAATATAGTCGTTGGGGGGGTTTTGTGACCGTTTTTGACCTTTTTTTCTTTAAAAAATTACCATTTTACCACCCTAAACATGTATAAATAGGTTGGGATGTATTTGGTTGATTACAAATTCCTCAAATCTTATTACACAACACTTAAACATCTCTCAAATCTTACTTTTGTAATTTTTTGTTCATCATGAGTAACACGGCTGAATCTTCCGTCGGGGGAAACCTTGAAGTCGTGAGAGTGATCGAACACACTCGAAACAAAGACATTTGGGATCACTACGATTTATGTGAGATGTCAAATGGCTCGAGGAGGGCGCGTTGTAAACTTTGTCTAAAGTTTCTTGCATCGGAAGGAAACACAACGTTGAAGAACCATTTGACAAAATCATGCAATGCACTTCGCTCAAGATCGGATCCTAGTCAATCGAATCTTACACCGCAAGGTGTTGTTTTTGTTTACGACAACGAAAAATTACGAGAAGCGTTTACAAAGTTCGTGATTACAAAAGCATTGCCGTTCGACCACTTTGATGATGAAGATTTCACGACAACAATTCAACAACTAATGCAACCACGTTATACTCAAGTAAGTCGTACTACCCTTAGAAGAGATGCTATAAAAATGTGGCGTACGGCGAGGGAAAAAATGATTTTAGGATTCCAAGAACACCGTTATGGTGTGTCGCTTACATGTGACGTTTGGAGTTCCCCTCATAATACCGAAAATTCTTTTTTAGCCGTTACGTGACATTGGTTAGATCAAGATAATTGGCAAATGATGAAAAGGACAATCGCGTTTGAATTATTCGGTGAGCCGCATACCGGTGTTAATTTATTTACACTTTTAAAAAGGGTAATTTGTCTTTATAAATTAGGAAATAAAGTTTTTCTATATCTTTGATAATGCATCGAATAATACAAACGCGGTTCCAAGATTGAAAATATTACTTTCACCGATTTTAGACGGTGCGTTTTTTCATACTCGTTGCGTTGCACACATAATTAATTTATCCGTGCAAGCCGGTTTGGAGGTTATTGAGCCGATTAGATTAGAATTCAAAACAATGATAAAATCGGTTCTTTGTAACAACAACAAAAGACTAAATGATTATAAACGATTTTGTAAGTCCGTTAATAAAAAAGCTTTGGGTCTTAATTTGGATTGTCCAACTCGTTGGAACTCAACTTGGATGATGATGCATACTGCCTTAAGGCAAAGGGAAACATTGCAAACATTTCACGATCGGCTTTTCGAGAGGGGTCATGTCCCAAACATTTATCCGGATTCGAGTTGGAAAACTATAGCCAAAATAACCGATTTGCTTGAGGTTTTTAAAAATGCAACAACTTTTTTATCCGGTGTTTATTACCCTACTAGCCCGTTGGTTCTTAATCAAATATTTTTGTTGGCTACCCGACTAAATGACTTTGAATTTGAAACCGAAGTTTTTCAAGAAATTGGCTTTGCAATGAAGGAAAAACTTTTAAAATATTTTAAGGAGATTCCCCCCATTTTTACTTGTGCCGCCGCTTTAAACCCAACGTTAAATGTTGGTGGGGTTGAAACACTAATTGAACAAATTACGTTTGCTTTTAATCTAACCGATGATGAACCCAACTTTGTCCAAAACCAAATAAATTATTTTAACAAATGTTTTCGAGACATGTTTGCAATTTATTTAAATAAATACGGATCAAGTAGTGTAATACACGATCAAATGAGAATGAATGCGGAATCATCTAGTAGACGTCCAAGTAACATAAATTTGAATCTTTTTAACACTCTTGTAAATTCCCAATCCAAACGATCACGTACTACCACCCCAAGTAGCGAGTTGGGAAATTATATGTCATGCGATTTTCTATCAAAAATGACATTTGAAGAGTTTGAAAGTTTGGATATTTTGGCTTGGTGGAAAGAAAAGGAAGCACAATTTCCGATTCTAGCCGCCATGGCCCGTGATTTACTAACCGTCCAAGCTTCTACGGTAGCTTCGGAATCCGCTTTTTCTGTTAGTGGCAGGGTTATATCGCAACGGAGATCAAGACTAAGTCCCGAGTCGGTGGAAGTATGCATTTGTTTAAAGGATTATTTGGATGGAGCGGCTCGTAAGCAACATATCACCACCCTAGAAGATGCAATTGATGCCGATTTGGAAGCAAACTTACACATTGAAGAAGTCGAACTTGGAATATCCCCTCCAAACGAAGAAGGCGAAGATGATGAAGAAGAGATGACAATGTAGTTTATTTTATAACTTTATTTCAATTATCGTAAACTTTGTTTCAATTATCGAACTTGAAGTTTTTAAGTATTTGAATTTATCGAACTTGGAAGTTTTTAAGTATTTGAATTTATCAAACTTGGAAGTATTTAAGTATTTCAATTATGTTGAGTTAATTAAGTATTTCAATTAAGTATTTAAATTTATCGAACTTGAGGTTTGATGCTTTCTCTTTGATTCTCTCTTGATTCTAGTTGCTTGATGTTTCTTGTCTTTGATCATTGGCTTCTAAGCTTGCTTAAATACACTTTGAATCACTTCTGAACTTTAGTGATAATTAATGAAGATAATATAGCCGTTTAAGTGTGAAAACATTTAATAAAAATGCTTGGAGCGTGGGGGAATCGGTACCCTCATAGGGAATCGGTTCCCTAAGTGTAAAATTCAAATATTTCGACCGTTGAATAGGGGGGAATCGGTACCCCCTATGGGGGAATCGGTTCCCTCCGAGCATTCTGGAAATCTCGGAGCCAAACCATTCAGTGAGGAATCGGTACCCCCTTGGGGGGGAATCGGTTCCCTATGAGTAATCTGGAATATTAAAATCGGTTTTTTTATAACCGATTTTTTAAAAAAACCGGTTTTTTTAAAACCGAAACCGGTTACACCGGTTAGGATATCTGGCCCTCCAAACCGGTTAAAAACCGAACCGGTTATTTTATAAACCGGTTTTTTTTCTATGAGAAAAAACCGGATCGGATAAAAACCGATCCGGATCGGTTTGAAATCCGACAAATGTTCATCTCTAGATGGAGGGAGAGGGACTCTGAACACGACCACTACATAGAAGACATACATAAGCCTAAGGTAAAAGGTAATTATGTCAATAAACCTAGAAACTTGTCAAGTTTAGACATTAGCATTCAGTATAAATAGTATTCTTAAATGTTTGATTCCAATCAAGTTTCATTCATGTTGTTGTCCATGACTTTTGTCTTAACCTTGAACAGAGGTCGAACATAAACGACCACACAAGGATCCAACATTTCCATGTTCTTCAAACCATTAGCTTCGACTACTGTAACTGACAGCTTTCCCTTTGGCTTAACCTCTATTTCACTGCATAACAAAAGATATGATATTTGTTAACGAAACAAGGTGGTTACATCGATCACTGATGGTTTACTCTTTTTTCTTTTTAAATTTTAACAAGGGTTGTATTTAGTGACAAGACGATTATCTTTTGTCTCCATGAAGGAGAGAATAAATTAGTGGAGAATGGTTTCAAATCTTTCTCTCGATTTTGGTCAATAAATTTTATAATAATATTTTATGTTGGTGTCAGATATGAGATTATAATACCCGTTCATATATTGACATGATAAGTAGACATGATTAATTTGATGTGGTAGCAATTGATTTTGGCTCTAACTTATCATATGGAATTTGTCAAAATATTTATCAAATAATTTAATAGAACAATATAAATTTTCTTTTAAAAATTATTGTCGTGGTATATATATGTGTGTGTGACATTATCACATTATATTACAAGTTCGTATATGTTAGTTGTATCATTTTAAGGAGTTAATTATAAGTTGACTAAAGTTTTTTATCAATGAAACGGTTGTTTTAATCCAAAATTGAATAATTATGTTTAAAACGCTTTAAAAATGAGTAAAATAATTATTTATTAAAAAGTTAAAAAACATTTTTAAATATTATACATGAATGACACTTCAATGATTTTGCTCTAAGAAAAACGAAGATGAAGTTTGAAACATTTAAGTTATTTTATTACACTTTTAAAGAGAAATTTATTGTATTTTCCCCTTAAAATAAGACAGGAAAAGTAGATGTAATAAAAACAACTTTCTCTAATATCAGACAATAGGTAAATAGTGGAATTTTTAGCCCAATAATCCACGCAGGTGGATTATTTAGGCACTCGAATTTTTATTTTGGAATCTACAGTAAATGTTATAGTGTTCATGGAATTCGTCATGTCGGCGTGACGACTTTCATGAGTTATATATTTTTAATGGGCCGTGTCACGTGGATCCTATTATCCGAATATATTTAATATATCCTACGAGACTCGTCTTGTCCGCGTGACGAGTCTCAATAAAAAAATAATTTTTTTAAAAAAAATTTAAAAGCATTGTAAAAAACATATATTATTTTAATGCTGAAGGAACTCATCACACCTTTGTTACGAGTTCCAAGGGGTATAATTTTTAATTTGTTGACTGTTGTGTTAAAGATTTTGTGTTGAAATGACTTCAAGAGAAGAAATGTTATGTCTCTATATAAAATGTTTGATTCCAAGTGAAAAATCATCAAGAAATAACATTTATTCTCTTGATGCTATTTCAACACAAAAGTTCCATTGATTTTTTATAAAAAATTTTGTCTGTTCAATAACGATCACATCAGCGTGACAAGTTCCTTCACCATTAAAAATATATATATATATATATATATATATATATATATATATATTAAATAAAGTTTTTAAAATTTTTTAAAAAAATTACTTTTTATTCGGACTCGTTACGCTGGCATGACTAGTCTAATAAAATATATTAAATAAATTTAGGCTGTGGGACCCATGTGACACATACTATTAAAAAATATATCCCATAAAATTCGTCACGCCAACATAACAAGTTTCATTAATATTATAACATTTACCTTAGATCTCAAAATAAATTTTCTGTTATCCTATTGGATTAAATAATTCACCTTTCTGGATTATTTACCCAATTCCGCCTTTAATAGTCTGCTTAAACGACTGCTCATTTTCTACAAACTAATTTATATCTTTCTTACAAATAATTGGGTGATGTGTTTATAACTTTCTATAATTAAGAAACTCAATAAAAAATTAATTTATTCTCAAGGAACTATTTGCATGTTTTACCCTCTTTTGAAATACTCCAGTGAGAACACTGAAGCAAAAGTGTGTAGCCTCATTCTTGATTCTTTGAATGGCGCCTTCACCTTAAAAAAGAACTCATTAGACTCCACAATCAAGCCGATCCAAAAATGTTCGGAGGTCAAGGTTCTACTTCCGCCTTCTGGACTCCCTCTTCCACTCCGGCGTTTGGAACTCTTTCTTCAACTCCGGCGTTTGGGACCCCTTCCTCGACACCGGCGTTTGGTACTCCGTCCTCGACACCGGCTTTTGGTACTCCTTCCTCAACACCGGCGTTTGGAACTCCGTCATCGACACCCGCGTTTGGAACTCCTTCCTCGACACCCGCATTTGGGACTCCGTCCTCGACACCCGCGTTTGGAACTCCTTCCTCGACACCGGCGTTTGGAACTCCTTCGACACCATCTTTCGCTACAGGCTTTGGCGGTTCCTCTCTTTTCTCAACTCCTTTCTCTTCTCAAACGCAACAGCAACAGACTCTGTTGTTTCAACAACAGCAGCCATCCATCGCTGCACCTTCTACTGGTTTCGGATTCCAGAATACGTTATCCGCCACTCCTTTCCCCAATGCTCAATTGACAACTCAAATGGCTCCCGTCGCTCCTCTTCCCTTCTCTCTCGCCGATCGTGATATTCAAGTAATTTCTCTCCTTTACAAGTGTTAAACCCTAACCCTAGGTAGTAGTTATTTGATTCTTGATTTTTCTATTTGATTTCTAGGCGATTGTGGATGCTTACAAGGAGGATCCTGGGAACCCTAAGTATGCTTTCAAGGTTTGTTTTTGTCCCAGTGCTTAGTTTTACTTTGAATTAATTTTTGAATCAAATCAAGAGGAAGAACAATTGTAGATATTGTACCCTGAAGCTACATTGTTTCTGTTTTGTGTTGTTATCTAATTCTGATAAATGCAATATCTGTAATCATATCATTTGATGATTTTCTTTTTCAATCCATGGAACTTGATAAAGACCCAGAATGAGGTTTTAGATGGTTTGCATGTCTATTGATTGCTAAGTTCACTTTTATGCAGCATTTGTTGTTCAGTGTAATTGACCCGCAATTCAGGGGGAAGCCAGCTGGTGTATCAGATGTGAGTTTACTACTACTTCTCATTTTTGTTGGGTTCATGGAGTTCTACTTTCACTAAGGTCGGATGATAGTTTACATTTGTAGATAATGTGGGCGGAAGCTATTGCGAAACTGGAGGGTATGGAGAGTGCTGATCGGGAAAGACTCTGGCCTCAGCTTGTTCAGGGTTTTAAGGATCTTTCACAGCGGTTGAAGGTAATAATTGCTTATATTTGGGGCATGGGGAGGGAATTTTCTTCATTGTCTTTTTAAACTATGTATTGTTATTGCTGGAAAATCTTCATCAGATATGGTCCTAGTAGCAACTTTATGGATTTCTATAAGATTTTGAAACTGGTATGGTAACTAAATGATGCCAATTTTAGAAAGACTTGTCCTGATCTGATTACTTTATGGGAAGAATCTCATGTTCTATTGTGTGTTTGTGTTTCTAAAATGGTGGATTTTGTTTGTCAGTACCTCTGGGTGTTAGAAATGGCATGAAACCTTGAAAGTGATTGGATAAGGATAAAACAAAGAATATTTTGCAATTGAAAAGGGAGAGATCTGGCTGAACAGTGTTGTATGTTGTAAGTTTTGTTGCAAGTTTTTTTGGAAGAAACAGTAATTAATGTGGTCAAATATACAAGAGTTCTATGAGTACTCATATGTACCAGAAGACTTGGTCTTACCAGTGATTATGCTTTTTCATTTTAAGTCAATTATATTTGTGATAGTAGGAGTTCCATATAGGCTGAACTATTTGACATTTTGTTTTGCTGATTATTGCAGCTACAAGATGAAGTAATCCTTTCAGATGCTGAAAGGTTACGAATGACCCAGAGCAATGTGAAAATGGTATTGTATTCTCTATTAGTTTCAATAGATTACTCTCCTTAGCATGCTTTTCACATTCTATTTCTTTTGGTAGCTTCAAAGGCATTTTCAAGCTGAAACTCTTCCATGGATCGAGAGAATGAGACAAAAGGAGCAAAGCCTCCAAAGGCGCCTCTTAAGGGTGAGGCAAAATTTAATTCTTTTTTATCATCTATTAGAAATGATTGGCCTGAACCTAGGAGCTGATCAGAAACATAATTTTATTGATAAAGTTGATTGTTCATGTTTCTTTTTTACTTGATTCTACGCCCTCCCCCAACTCCCAAAAATCATATAAATAAATAATGAGGAAAAGAGAATGTGCTGGATACAACTGTCTTTGGAGTGCGGTCAGTGTACTACTGTACTTATATCGATTTTTTGTTGTTGTATGATGGCCATAAAGATGATGAGAATAGTGGAAGCATTAGAGGGTAAGGGTTGCCGTGTGCCTTTAATGAAAGGGGAAGTTGAATTAGCTGAGAAGTTGGCTACAATAACCAGACAGGCTAGTCTTCCTATCCTCTGATCCTTTACATCTGTATTTTCTGTTATACTATCGTCAAGATCTTTTACTGACAAGCAGATGCAATAACAGTTGAAAGGATCTGGAGCAGAACTTTCTAGGAGGGTTCAAAACCTACTAGCCGAATCTCGTGTTCAAGCAAATGCTATTGGTGCTGGAGGTTCTCTTTATCTTCCAGGATCAACTAAAATACACGAGCAGAGTCTTGCTGATATGCATGAGGTATGACCGAGCAACCTATTAAGCTTTTCTGTACTCTACATTTTCCGCGGGCGGGGGAGTTATGACAAGAGCATTCATGCTATTTTTTTTAAAGCATAATTACCTGTTATTTCCACCAACAACCATAATGCATACTGCATCTAGACATTTGTGACTTGACCATGAATGATCTTTTCTGGGGAATAGGTATTACAACAGCAAACGGAGGCCATTGCAAGGCTTGGCAACGTTTTGAAGCGAGATATAAGGGATATGGAGATAATAATGGCTGAAGACACGGATATGACAGACAATGTGAATTAGAAGGTGGATTCTTTGCCATAATGTTATTTTACTTTGAAGTTTTGTATGTGGATTGGACAGGAATTTTAATCGGCTTTTAGATGGTTCTCGCTATGATATATTTATCCCATTGGTATCGGCCGGGTGACCCCAGGCCTACAAGCCTAACCTGCCTGCTTCAGGCCAAACTTGAATCAGGATTTCAGAGTTTTAAAGCTTGGCCTAGCCTAGAGTTATTGTTATTTCATTAGACAGTTAATGCATTTTTATTTGAGAAATCATTTAAGTTCCATCTTAAAACGAGAGCTGCTTTATGTTCACGTATTGGATTGGTACATTGCACCCCTCACCGCACACTCGTGCACCAAGGAGAACTTTTGCATATGTGGGCATCCCCATATCTATGGGTCACCCAATATAACACCTCAAATTATCTCATATAATCCAATTAAATATCAAGTATTATATAACAATCATTAATACAAATTTCATTCTTTAACTATCATTTATTAATCCAATTTTAGTAAGTCAATTATTAGCAAACAATAATGAAAATCAATATTTAAAATTATTAAGAATGCACTAACATCAGTTTTAGATTGATTAAGCCTAATCAAAGATAATTTCTACCACAATCAAGTTTGATCTTGAACTCCAACAATGGGCATCGCTTTGTTCTAGGGCGGTGTTGGCATGAAGTACGAGCCTGGTGCTTTATTTGTTTTTATATTTCACATCTATTTTTATAAAATTCGAAAGACTTAACACACCATTTATTATTTTATTAAAATCAGATGGATTTGACCTGATCAGAACATTGTCGTGGTATAATCTTATTGACCGAAAGTTTTTAATAACTAGGGGTAATTTGAAAAATGTTTGTAAATGTTAAAGGAAACTTTCGACAAAAAATAATTTAGGTATAATAATAAAATTACCCTTAACTTATGTACGAATGATCATTTTCTCCTATATTCTCTTTTAGATCATTTTAGACCCAATATTTTATTTTGTAGCGAAGTTCCTCTGGCTAGATGAAAAGTGTTAGTTGTCTTATTGTCAATATTTCATACGGACGTCACAAGTCCATATATGATGTCACTTTAACAAAAAAATATTTTTAGAGTAAACTATAATTATAATTATTTACATATACACTTATAAAAATATATTTAACAGTAATTTAAAATATTTTTTTAATAACGTGACATCACATGTAGACCTAAGACATCAAACATTAACGTTAGGAGATAGTACATTAATCAAATAAAAATAGATACCTTTCGATGATTCATTATTGATTGTCCTAATATCACCGAGACCCAATTAACCAATACCAACAACAATATCAATAATATACAAAGAGTAAATAACACACTTCATATGAAATATTTAAAATAAGATATTTTATTTATTATAATATACATACAACATACTGTAAAAGTAAAAATTACTAAAATTGACATAACATGTTGTGATTGACAATATATTTTTGAATAGATATTACTTTTAGAGATAAACAGAAAATATTTTTGATGATCAAGTGAGAAAATATGCAAACATTAGAGGGAAAATAGTACATTAAAACATGTAAAAATAGATATATTTTATGCTCCATTATTAGTTAGTCCAATATCATTGAGAACAAATTAATCAGTCTAAACAACAATATTAATGATATACAACAATAAATAATACGAAAATGTAATATTTTTATTAGTTTGAGTCTCTGAGATGATTATAAGATAATATCTATTCGAAAAATTTTATTCGAGATTTTTAGGAATAATAATCATCCCTTTAACTATGAGATTTCGTCGTTGCAATATGAAGATAATTTTTTCTTAGAAAATTAAATATTTTAATGATTACAGTACACATACAACTTAATTGATAACGATACACAATACGTATTCAACTTTATTCACTACAGTAACAATGCACATATAACTTTATTAATTACAATACACAACAATATCGTATCACAAAGCGTCCTCCGATTTTTTTTATATGATAAGAAGAAAGAAAATTATTAGAACAACAACAATACATAAACGATTTACATTATATAGATCTTATTTTTTTTTCGTCCTTTCATGTTCCCATAACCCATTTTTCCACATCTCCCTCAACTTATCATCATCACCAGCTCAAAGTATTAAGATAAGAGTCCCAAATCCACCCACAATTATACAAATCCAAATGATCATCATATATAGTGACGTTAAGAAATCACTATAGTAAAATAGGTTTTTTGCGGCGTTTTTTTATATATAGCAGCGTTTTTAAGCGCTGCTAAAAACACATGCGACGTTTTGCCAAACGCAACAAAAAGCGCTGCTGAAAACAGCGCCGCTAAAGTTAGCGGCTTTTTTTAACAAAAACGTCGTAATAGGTGTTGGTGTTTAGCGGCGTTTTCCCTACAAACGCCGCAGTAGGTGTTGAGATTTCGCGGCGTTTTACTTACAAACGCCGTAGTAGGCGTTGATATTTTGCGGCGTTTTTCCACAAACGCGGCAAAAGGTGATGATGTTTAGCGACGTTTTTCCCATAAACGTCGCAGTAGGTTTTCAGATTTAGCGGTGTTTGTATTGAAAACGACGCAATAAGGGTTGAGAATTAACGGCGTTTTTCATACAAACGTCGCTAAAGTTGGGTATATCGCGGCGTTTCTAGTATACAAATGCCGGTAAATGTATGGTATATTGCAACATTTTTTTTACAAACGCCGCTAAATAACACAGAATTTAACAGTTCTAAAAATAATGCTTGATTACCCCAAATCTGTTTTTTCAATATGTTCCATTATCCAACAAACAAAACAACAATAACATCAAACTCTATATCCATAACAAACATCATCAAATCCAATATAATAAATAAAAGTTTTCATTAACGTAATATAAGTTCAGTTAAACAAGGTTCAGTAACATTAACAGAATGTTCATAACATAAATGAGACTACGATGGTGGATTCTGAGGTTACGTTTCCTGTATCGTTAGTATCATATCATTGAGTCATTTTTCAAATTCTTCATATCTCTGCTGATATGCTGCTTCTCTCTGTGCTGCCGCTGCTTCTTTCTCTTCTTCTGTTGTTGCTCTGGTTGCTTCCGCTGCTGCTTTCTCTGCTTCCCTTGCTTCATTTTCCGCTTTCAAGTTAGCCATTTGTTGATCCATCTCAGCCAAATTTTCTTTTAAACGACTAACTTCGTGGTGGGAAGATCGAGACTGTGATGACATGTACTGTGATGAGCTGGATCCAAACTATTTGGTGGGAGTAACGAATGATCCTTGACAGCGCACCCGACCATATCTTTCAGGACCCAAAACGTCATTAATAGCTTGGTTTTTAATGTCATCATCATTAACAATACCTTGACTCGAAGCAGTAGCATGATGCTCCGCCTTTTTCTCCCTCAATTTTTCCTAATAATAAAGTGAATAATTAATTAAAATAAAAAATGTCATGGTACAAATATAAATAAAGTCAGGTAAATTTAAAACATATACCCAATAAATGTACCATATTTTCTGCAACGCCAACAGTCATAGGAGTGCCATCCTTCTTCGTATGTCGAAGAGTTGGATTCGACCAACTTTAGAACCGGATGTATTTTCCCACAATGTACCATAATATAATTACTATGAGTTAATATGTACATGGAATACAAAAAACTATTTCAATAATCTATAATTCCTCCTCATGAGCTATACAAGCAAAGCTCTTTGATCCAGCCATGTGCGTAAACTTTTGTTGTTGTCTGCTAGCAACACCAACATGCTCTCGGTCCTACAATGTCAAACAATCACTTTTAATGATGATTTAAAATTCGTTAAAATTATTTCTGAAAAATACATCATACCTGTCCTTGTTTTGAACTCCAAAATCTGACTGTATCTTCCCATTGGTACCTGAGCATTCCTGGTGGGACTGTTTGCAACTTCTCTTCAAGACTGAGATCATTCTTGAAGTATTTCTTCTTTACGGAGCTCTTATGGTCCCTCCATCTCTTCCCTAACGCTTGCTTCACATAATCGTCAGAGACCTCTAAAGAAAATTTCTCCTATACAGCAAATAAGTGTGCACCGTAAGTATAAATTAGTATTGAATTTCTATAGAGTATCTATTATAATGACATTATTACCTTAATAAAATCCACCGCTTGATTTTTGTTACTATTAGGCATTTCGCGCCATGACTCGTAATTGATGGGTAATATAATCGCATTACGTCCAACTATGCCTAAGTAACCTGCTAGAAGACGTGATTCTAGGCCAATAGGATGACCGACATCATTTCTTGAAACTTTGACACGATGCCCAGGAGGAAGTTGGTATAATTCCTTCAAAGTTGTACGTCCTCGAGTCTTGCGTGTTCTTGCATTTTCAACTATATAATAAATTATTAAAGGTCAGTTTTGAAAATGAACAAAGTAGTAAATAATGTTTCGAAGATTACTTTGAATTTCTACTTCTTCTTCAACAGTTTTAGGAACTTCAGAAGAGTCGGGTGCATTCGATTCCTCGTTATTTCTTTCTTCATGGTCTTCAGAAGCTCGAACAACCCACAAATCAATTATTTTTCTCCTCGGTATGATATCTATAATAAACAAACATGAGTAATAAAAAAATGAATTAAGTAATGAATATATTGAAAGACAACATGTTAAAGGTTATAACATTATAAATAAATAAATAAATGAAGATATAAAATCATACAAAAGTCTTATGTAATGTCAGTTGTCATAAATATCTTTATCAACGTCCTCCCGAACCCATTGAAATTGTGTTGTATTAGTGATAGTTTCATCTAAGTTTTGTGGTAGTATAGGTAAACATTCTGATCCTGTTTCAATGTCATCTCTACTTCCATCCTCGATGTCTATCAAGTCTCTGGGAGTATTTCGAAGCACAACATACCAACCGTCATCCATTAGATCGTGACAATAAAATACTTGTTTCACTTGAGAAGAAAATACATATGGTTCATCCATCAAACATTGACCCGTGTGAATTAATCGAGAGAAATTCACCATTGTAAACCCGGATTTATCTCTTTTTATACATCTATTTACATCAACCCAATCACACCGAAACAATACAACCTTTCATTTTTAATAATAATCTAACTCAATAATGTCCGTAAGATTTCCATAGTAATCGACATCTCCCTCATGCAGATTATTGTCCCTTACAGTAGCATAACTTATAGTTGACGAAGTAACTACGACTCCACAATTTTGTGTCCTCCTTAATCTTTCACGAGATTTCGTGTGGAACCTG